CGCGGAGCGCGCCAGGGGCGGTGCCGGAGGCGCCGCCACGGGGTCCCAGCGCGGATCCGAGACATCCGCGCGGACCTCCGAGTTCTCGGGAGCTCCCGAGCGAAGTGAACCCCACCCTCCTCCTCAGAAACCGTGGGGGGTAGGGGTAGGGTTCGCATGAACGGAACGGAAGCCGGCGCAAGGCTCCGCGAGGGAGCTGCCGGGAGGGCCGAGGCCTGCTCACATCTTAATGTAATCGTCCTTCAGCTGGTCCCACATGTCTGACGTCGCAACCTGTGCCCAATCGTCGTGGCCAAGAGTGGTCAGCACGTGTTGTTTGCTGTCGTCAACCCATCGGGGTAGGGTTCGCATGTGGCCCCCTATTTATGCTCACGCCGTCCCTCGTTCCCCCGGACTCGCATCGACCAGGTCCCAGATGGTCTGGCACCGGAGATTTTCGGTAGCGATTTCGACGCACCCCGAATTTCGGTAGCGACCGGATCTTCGTTCGAGGGCGTGGAAGTAGCGGGTCTCAGAACGCTCTGATACCGGTATTGGGCGCTGCATTTCGGTATTTCGGTAGCGACCGATCTCTGCGGAGCGCTACCGGAAATTTTCGGTAGCGGATTCAACATCGAACGATTCTGGGTCGCCCGCGGCGTTCAACCTTGAACGCCGCTGGCGGGGTCGCCGCCGGTCGACACGACGCGAACCTACCGTATTTATGCTCACGCCGTCCCTCGTTCCCCCCGACTCGCATCGACGAGGTCCAGAAGGGGCCCCGCCAGGGGCGGCGGGCCCCTCAGCGGCGCCCTGCCGCACGGGGCGCGGGCCGCCCCCGGGGGGCGGGATCGCCGCCGAGGCGCCGAGTCCCCGCCCCCCGTGCCCCGCAGCGCTGCGGGGCAGCGCGGAGGAGGCCGGGCCCACCAGCTGTCCTGAAGGGGGCCCCAGGACACACAACCTCCTCCTCCTCCTCCTCAAAAAAAACTCCTCCTCCTCCCTCCTCCTGCCTTCCTCCTCCGCCTCCGCCTCCTCACTCCTCCTCCTCCTCCTCCTCCTCCTCCTCCTCCTCCCTCCTCCTCCTCCTCCTCCTCCTCCTCCTCCTCCTCCTCTCCTCCTCCTCCTCTCCTCCTCCTCCTCCTCCTCCTCCTCCTCCTCCTCTCCTCTCCTCTCCTCCTCCTCCTCCTCCCCTCATCCTCCTCGTTCTCCTCTCCTCCTCCTCCTCCCTCCTCCTCCTCCTCTTCCTCCTCCTCCTCCTACCTCCCTCCTCCTCCTCCTCCTCCTCCGCCTCTCCTCCTCCACTCCACAAAGAATTACCAACAATAGGAGATTTCCCGCATATTTTCGTACTGTTCTGGGCCTTTGGTCTTCCCCCCCCCCCACTTCCCCTATTTTTGCACCTTTTCCTGAGAGTCGGCGATTATAATTGTGTCTGTGCGTTTTTTCCCCTCCTGATGTCCCCCTGGAGCACCAGGAGGCTCCGGGGCTCCAGCAGCACCTTCACGCAGTCCTCCGTGTCGCGCGCCGCCGCGGGCACGGGCCTGCCTCCGGGCGCGCGGGCCAGCGTCATCTGGACGGGCTCCCGCAGCGATACCGTGGCGAAGGCCGGGCCCGCGGCCGGGTCCTCCACGTGGACGCCGATGCCGCTGTCTCCGAGGTACTCGTTCGCCTGCACCTGGTTGATCTCTCCGGCGCCGTCCGCGAAGATGCCCGTCTCCGCGACGCGGCGCAGCAGCCACTCGGGGAACTCTCGCAGCGGGCGGCCGAGCTGGTCCTCGAGGAGGCTGCTGGCGGTCGGCTGCAGCTCGGGGTCCGAGTGGGTCGTCTGGTAGTACTTCAGCCCGAAGGTCGGCGGCGGGCGAGGGGGAAAGCGAGAAAGGAAGGCCTTTTCAGAAGGCTCGGAAGTCCCCCGGCCTTGTGAGAAGTCTCTGAAGCCTTCCTCGAAGACACGACAACCTTCACAAAAGGCGCGAGGGCTTCTGAGAAGTCCCGTGGCCTTCTGAGCAGGCCTTCTCCTTCTCACTTCCCCCCTTCGATCGCCGCCGAGAAGAACTGCTGCGCGCGGCGGATCCTGCGGGTCCAGGCGCCCGCGTCCGCGTCCAGGGCCTCCAGAACCCGGGCCTCCTCCTCGGGGCTCACGAAGTCCCTGTGGTAGAGGAGGCCGGCCGGCAGCTCCCTGCTCCCCTGGGTGGTCGGGGGAAGGGCGAAGGGGCGTCCTCCTCCACTCCTTACAAATGAGTTCTCCCTGTCGCCCCCCCCTCCCGCCCCAAGGGGCCCCGAAGAGCCCCCCAAGAGGCCCCCGGGGAGCCCAATACGCCGCCAAGGAGCCCCAAGACGCTCCCAAGAAGCCCCCAAGAAGCCCCCAAGACGGCCCCAAGAGGCCCCAAATAGCGCTCCAGGCCCGGCGGAATGAGCGAAGCGATTCAATAATTTGTCCCTGTCGCACCCCGAGGCCAGTTCTTAGGACGGGCCGGGCGTTTCGCCTGAGATCTCCTCACCATTTATGGCCCTGGAGCTTACAAAATGGCAACAGCTTCGCATATTGAGGGCGGGTGGTCTTCAAAATGTGGCTCTCGCCTTAGCGCCGCGCACATTCGTTGTAAAACATTGCCTGAGCTTCACGGATTCAGGGCGGGTCGTTTTCAAAATGTAGCTCTCGCCTTGGCGCCGCGCACATTCGTTAAACACATGTGCAAGGGCTTCACAATTGAGAGCGGGTCGTTTTCAAAATGTAGCTCTCGCCTTAGCGCCGCGCGCATTCATTTTGAAACATTGCGAGCTTCAGGGGTTGAAGGCGGGTCGTTTTCAAAATGTCACTCTCGCCTTGCGCCGCGCACATTCGATTTAATAACTTGCAAGAGTTTCACGAATCCCCATGATCAACGTACCAGGAATGGTGTTTTGGAAGGATTTAGGATTATGCAGGCGCAACAGTTATGTTGATTCGCGGTGTCGAAGTCCCACAAATGACGTTCTGGCACGATTCCAGATCGTCAGGTCGCAGCAGTCAGGTTGATCCGTGGCGTGGAATTCCCGAGAACAATGTTTTGGCATGCTTCAAGGTCTTCACAAGGTTGACTTCCAACGAAGCAGTTCCCTCAATGGAAATGAAACGTTGTAGGGGCCTATGAACAGGAAGCTTGGAGGGAGGGTTATTTCCAACATCGTTGATGACTCTTGGGTTTACACTGGTCCCCCTCCTCCTCCTCCTCCTCCTCCTCCTCCTCCTCCTCCTCCTCCTCCTCCCTCATCCTCCTCCTCTTCCCCCTCCTCCTCCCCCTCCTCCTCCCCCTCCTCCTCCCCCTCCTCCTCCCCCTCCTCCCCCTCCTCCTCCTCCTCCTCCTCCTCCTCCTCCTCCTCACATCCTGGCCAGGGCCCACCCTGGGATCCCAGGATCGGTGCCATACGCCCCCATTGGCCAAGCCGCCTCGCGGGCGTCATTCTACACCACCCGCCTCGGGCCCAGGGTGGGCCCAAACCCTGGAGCCCGACGCAGCGAACACATGATTGTAACATCTTGAAGTTCTGCGACCAGAGCCCATCTCTTCTCCTCCTCTTCCTCCTCCTCTTCCTCCTCCTCCTCCTTCCTCCTCCTCCTCACCCCCCCCCTCTCTCGTCTCACCCCCCCCTCCTCCTCCTCCTCCTCCTCCTCCTCTTCTCCTCCTCCTCACTCCTCCTCCTCCTCCTCCTCCTCCATCCGCCTCCTCCTCCTTGACGTCCCTCGTTGGGCGCCCTTCCTCGACACCCGCATCCATCCCTGATTCCTGGGGTGGCCGCGGCGCACCGACGGAGCAAGTCCGTACGAGGACGCCTGGTGTGGAACGCTGCAGCCCGCCGTGCTGTCAGGAAGGTCCCAGGCTGTCGGTGAGCTCCAGTCGCCGGAAAACCCCGAGGGGGGGGGGGGAGGGGGAGGAGAGGAGGATGGGGAGGCGGAAGGGAGGGAGGTGGAGGAGAGGTGGGGTAGGAGGCGGATGGATGTAGTAGGCGGAGGAGGGGGAGGGGGAGGAGGCTAAGCTAGGTGCGCTCGCGTCGTATCTGACGTCCTACCCCTCCCTCCCATCCCTTACCATGGCGTAGATCCCCTCTCTATTAGTCGGATGTCGTAGCATGGCATAGCATGGTGTTGAAGATTAACGCGTAGCATGACATAGCATGGCGTGGCGACGCCCCAAAGTGGGTGGGGGCTTCTGCGGCCCCAAAAATCAACGAACCGATACAGAATGTGTAAACACTTCCGATGGTTTTCTCGGGAGGCCATTTTTTGGATTTGGGGGCCTGTTTGGAAGGACCGAAAACCATGCCGTGGCATGGCGCTGGAAATACTGACACCAGCGCTGCAGCGGGAGCACGATGCGGAATGAGCGGAAGCGCGGAAATGAGGCCAGCGTTGCAGCATGAGCACGAGTCGGAACGAGCCGTAGCCCGAAAATGAGGCCAGCGCTTCAGCGAGAGCAGCATTTTGCAAAACAAACAAGCAAAAAAACGGAAGCGCGGAAATGAGGACGCGTAGCCTGACATAGCATAGCGTGGCGACGCCCCAAAGTGGGGGGGAGGGGTTCTGCGGCCCAAAAATTCAACAAACCGATACCGAATGTGTAAACACTTCCGCTGCTTTTTTCGAGGGGGCATTTTCTAAATTCTGGGGCCATTTCGAAGGACCGAAAACCATGCCGTGGCATGGCGCTGGAAGTGTAATGACGCCAGCGCTGCAACAGGAGCACGATTCGGAACGAGCGGAAACACGAAAAGGAGGCCAACGCTGCAGCGGGAGCACGATGCGGAACGAGCGGTAGCCCGAAAATGAGGCAAGCGCTTTAACAAAAACCCAAGCGCGGAAGCGCGGAAATGAGGACTCGCAGCCTGACATAGCATGGCGTGACGACGCCCCAAGGTGGAGGGGGGGGGCTTCTGCGGCCCAAAAATCAAACAATCGGCACCGAATGTGTAACCATTTCCGATGGTTTTTTTCGAGGGGGCATTGTTTTGATTTGGGGGCCTGTTTGGAAGGACCGAAAACCATGCCGTGGCATGGCGCTGGAAATAATGACGCCAGAGCTGCAGCGGGAGCACGATTCTGAACGAGCGGCAGCCCGAAAATGAGGCCAGCGCTTCAGCGAGAGCAGCATTTTGAAAACAAGCAAACAAAAAAAAACAAGCGAGAACCCAATTCCCGGGAATCCTGCGTAAAAAAACAGTGCGCGGAGGGAGGCCGAGCAGTCCCCGAACGCCACCAGGGGAGAGAGCAGAGTAGCATTCATACGATTTCACTGTGGAAGAGGAGGCGGAGGAGGAGGAGGAGGAGGAGGAGGAGGAGGAGGAGGAGGCCTGGGATGGGCGGGGCGGGCGTCCCCCGACCGGCCTGGTAGCTCCCGCCGTACGTCGCGAAGGGCGCGCCCCAGCAGCGGCCGTCGCCGCGCGGGGCGCCTCCCGCGCGGCCCCCGGGCGCCTGCGCCAGGGCCAGCGCCAAGACTCCTCCTCCTCCTCCTCCCTCCTCCTCCTCCTCCTCCTCCTCCTCCGGGTCCTCCTGCTTCTTTATCGTCTCCTCCATCCTCCTCCTCTCGCTCCTCCTCGCCTCCTCCTACTCCTCCTCCTCCTCCTCCTTCCTCTCCTCCTCCTCCCTCCTCCTCCTCCTCCTCCTCCAGCCCCCTCCCCCCCTCCGCCCCCGGGCGCCTGCGCCAGGGCCAGCGCCGCCGCCAGCGCGGCCAGCGCTCTGGCGGCATGGCCGCGGCCGCGGCGCGCGCTGCGCCGCACAGGGCGCATCGCTGCGGCGGCTCGCGCCCGGGGCGGCTGGACGGGGCCGAAACAAGCCAAAAGCCCCCCGTTGTGCTTTGCTCGCGACGAGCGCGGGGGGCGCTGGGGAAGGCCCCGGAGGGCTGAGCCAGGTGCGGCCCGACATAGGTGCACCTCTCTTTCGCGCCCCAGAAGGGCTCCGAAGGGGCCCTCCGAGGCCCAAAGCAAGCATGAAAGGTGCACGCAGCTTCTTCGCCCCCCACCCCCCCTCACCCAGACCCCCAGTGTTCTGAATTTATCATGGCGTCGACCCGCCAGAGGTCTCGACCCATTCCCAGGGACGAGCTTTTCATCCAGCTTGGACGGCCCCGAGGCCCAAGAAGGGCCCCCGAAGGCCGAAAATCACGAAAAACCCTGCGTCGTGGTCCCACCAGCCCCCTGGGCGTAGGTGGTCCAAGGCGCCTCCTCTTCCAACCCCCCTCCTCCCCCTTCGGGGAGGGGCTTACCCCACGGGAGGCCACGGGAGGCAGCGTCGCCCGCCCGACTCCTCGGAGCTGTCAGCGCACGAGCTATACCCTTGCAGACAAGCCATGCAAGGAGAAAAGTTCACACCCGCGGCGTGCCCCTCCGTCCTTGTCTTCGTGCCGTGGTCCTCAGAGTCGTCCCGCACCCCCGGCCGCGCCCGGCGGAGGTCGAGGTGCGGACACACAGCAATTCCAATTCACGTTGGAAGAGCACCACGCGCTCAAACCGATGGCGAGGAGGAGCGGGCAAGGGGCAAGGAGCTGAAGGCGCTGTGAGTATGGATGCGGGTCGCGAGATCCCGAGCGGGGCTCTCCCCTCCGAGCGGGGACCCCCATCCGACAACACACACACACACACCCAGAGCCCCCACGGGATTCCACCCCGAGAAATCGAGGGGTCGCACAGGTATGGGTGCTAGCTGTCAGCAGGGTGTGGGTATGGGTCGTATAGGTCTAGGTATGGGTATGGGTCGTATAGGTATAGGTTATGGGTATTCGTGCACGTGACATTCACGTGCACGAATAAAAACCACACGTAGGCATGTACACACAGCTCGCGATCGACCAAGAGTACTTTACTGGCTCCGCAGCCAAACGAACGTCTCTGCTCTCTGCAGCATTGGGTGCTGGTTCATTTGTTGAGGATGATGCCATCGAACTTCGTCTGGAACCACTTCATGCCGTCGTCCTTCTTCAACCTGTGCGCGAAACCGACCTTTCCGCGCTTGAGCTTCCGGAACATCACGCGGTTGCCAGGGCGGGAAAGGTGCACGTAGAAATCCATTCCGTAGATCCCTGTGCTCGGGTCGTACTTGATGCCCAGGTCGATGTGCTCCGTGATACCGAATCCGAAGCTGCCGTTCTTCGCAAAATTCCTCTTCACGAGCTCATACTCCTTCACCTTGAGACCCTTCTCTAGGATCTCCTCTTGGCACGCCCGGAAAGGTAAGAAACTAATGGGGGCGGTGCCAAGAAGCGAATGCCGTCTGAAATCTTCAGCAACTTCTGTTGCGCAGGCGAGATTCTGCATCATCCTGACACCCCTCCGAGTGAAACCTACAAAACAAAAACCAATAATCACCACGCAGCTCGCCCCGTCGCCCTCCGCCAAGACAACACCAATGAACTAGCAATAATGTGTACACATATATATATATATATATATAGATGAAATGTACATGCGTGCGCGCGTGAAGATATACACATCAATACAATCAGATGGTGTGCGCGTGCATTTGACTATACCTGTAGGTGCACCTACACGCCAACAACTTCTACATACGAATGTGCAAACCGCATCTACAAACTCATAGGTTTGCAGCTGTACGTATACATAAACAATTACATATACATATACGCATGCACATACATCCACGTATACATCCGAACATACGTATACGTATACGTCTACGTATACACACATGCACATATGCACATGTGCCTGGGCGTAAGTATACAAATGCATATACCGATCAAGAAGCATGTACATACATCTATGCATATGCATATACAGATGCATAGGCGTGTACGCATATGTACCTAGATACCAATGCATGAATACATGCGTACACGCATACGTATGCATAAACGTTTTGACCAACGAACATGCATGTGTGAACGCATACCTAACCCGTTACACATACGTATACAGGTACACATAAACATTTGCATGCACTCAATTCTCCATATATACATACAGGTGCTGGCATACATGCCAATGACAACACATGCGCGTGCACAATTGTATTTACATACATATATATGTATACGAGCACACGCATGTTTATATAGCTCCACGTATATTGCCCCGCAAATATTGCACAACATAAACTGTTAGTACACCTACGGTGTGGGTCAACGCTAGCCTGCATATGTATACATGCACAGACATACATATACACACGCACACACATACATGCCTATGCATTTAACGAACTGCGTACACACATGTGTTATGCATGTATATACACATGCACACACATATACGGTCGCTGATCTGTGTATGTATGTGTATATATATATATAAACACATGCTACACACATATACGCATAAAAACAAACCTATAAGCTGATATTTACATACACACGCATGCAAACACGTATACATGCACATACGCCATCAAGCCGAGACACACTGAGTGGAGTGTCCTGAGGCCCATTCGAGTGCTCGGTAGCGCGCCCTCTTAAAACACATTCAAAGGTCTCAAAGGCCCAAGGGACGGATCTCCCGAGGCTTCTCGCGTGAATCCCAGGGTGTGCCGCCTGACCCCACGAAGGCCCAAAGACGGTCCAAGAGGGCCCCTGAAAGGCCCAAGAGGACCCCGAGGCAGCCCAAGACGGCCTCAAGAAGGCAAGAAGCCCCGAGACGCCCCAAGAGGGCCCCGAGAGGGCTCCAAGATGGCACAAACATGTGTTCCTAATGCATTTGAATTGGTTCAGGGTTCTCGCCCTTTCGGGCGGCCGAGACTCTAAGGCAATCGAAGAGGCGGTCACGAGGACCTCCAGACGGCCCAAGAGGGTCTCAAGACGGCCTAGGAGATCCCGAATTCGGCCCAAGAGGCCTCCAGAAGCGCACAAGAGAGGCCCAACAGGGAAAACCGAAGGAAAACCGAAGGATCCTCAGGAGCCATTTCCCAAAATAGGGCCCCCAAGAACATCAACATGCTCCCAGGAGCCCCACAGAAGCACCAAAGAGGCCCCGAGGAGATATTCAAGAGGTCCCCCCGAGGCCCCCGAAATGTCCTCTGAAGAGGCCTTCAAGAAGCTTCCAAAAAGCAACCCAAAAGACCCCAATAGGCATCTACGAGGCCCCTGGCCCACATCCCAGGTACGGTGCCTGCATTAGCCAAAGGCCGCAATATACATACACGGAAGCATCTACATACAAGGGCGCAGCACCCCATTTTTGAGACAAACTGGCACCGTCTTGGCAATCGATACGGTACTCAAGAACCGTCACACACCCTCACAAACCGCAACCCAACTGTCGTACCCACCCGCACAAATTTCCAAAGGAAAGACCACCATCCGCCCGCGTAAAGCTGCCACTCAGATCCGCCGACCCTTCGCTGACGGCGAAGGTGGTTAGGGGGCGGGGGTACGGGGAGGGAGGGTCAAGACTCCCTCCCCGGCCGCAAGCCGTCTCGCTCACTCCCACCCGCCCTCCCAACACACACGTAGCACCCGAGTCTGACCCGAGCCTCAGCATATTCAGCAGTCGTCTTTGGATGGGCAGTTACTGGGGGCCAATCCGCCGCCGTCGCCGCCGCGCCGCCCGCCGCCGCCGCCGCCGCAGCCGCCGCCGCCGCCGCCGCAGCCGCCGCCGCCGCCAAGTGTACTCTGCATTGTTTTTTGACAGGGCTGGTGGGGTGAGACCGCATCGGGTTGGCTGCGCATGCTCCGAATTTGGAGGCAGAATGTGCTTTGTATTGTTTTTGTCCAAAGGATGGTGGGGGAGTGCCCCCATTATCCCTGGTTGGCTCCCAGTCGCATGGGGGAGGGGGTGTTCATTAATAGGGAACAGTGATATACGGGGGCGGGTCCCAAATCAGACTTGTAGCGTCCAAAACCCGAATAGCAGCCCAGTCCGAGTCCAAAGCGCGTAAAATACGTGTGGCGCACTCGGGAGGACGCTAGAAAACATGCCTGAGGAGCTTGCAAGCTCTGGAAAGGAAGCTTCGCATGAGCTCCCAAGACTCCCAAGGAGCTTCGAAGGAGCTGCGGAGGAGGCTCCCGGCACGCGTATTGGGAACGAGCAGCAGAACGCTTGCCGGAACACGCTGGACGCTCAAGCAGCGTGCTGCGGGGATGCCTGACGGGGAGCCTTGGAGAGGAGCTGGCGTAGCCCTGCCTGCGGGTTCTTATCTAACAACCCTTATAGCTCTCACATGGAGGCATCCGGGAATTACTGCCCCCCGGGGGTCCCGGCGAGCCCCAGGGCGTGATCCCACCTGTGGACCGGCGGGACAGGTAGGGGGCCCTGGCCCCAGCCCCAGCCCCAGCCCTGGGGTCCCAGGGGAAGTCCCGCCTTCATGGTCGGCGGCACCAGCCGTCAGGCCTTCAATATCCTCGCCCACCCGCCTTGAACTGAAACATGAATATCACCACCCAACTGACTAATATTGCAACTCTACTATCCTGACCCGCCTGAATGAAACCGAAACTCCAACGATCAGTCCTCACGAACCACCCACAAAACTGCTATGCACGTTTTCTCGCCTACCCGCCTAGAACTGCAACCAATGATCCTCACCCGCCTGTGTAGACCTGAAAACCCTAAAATCTCCACCGCCTGAACATGATACCCATGTATGCGAACCCACCCGCCACAACTCAGACCCAAGAGCCTTGCATGCGCAATCCTTCACCAACCGAATAAACCTGCAACTTAGATATCCACACTCACACACCTACCACTGTGACCCAGATATCCTTACCCATCCGCTTCAGAACGCCGCCCGAATGTCATCACACACCCGCCTGAAACTCCAATTTGAGTATCCGCCACCGTGCCACTGTGGCACGAAGTGGAGTGTCCCCAAGCCCCTTGCCCAACTCCTGAGCCTCAGTCTCTTCGGTCCTGAGAATTCGTTGAGAAGCCTGGACCCCCCATTCTCAGACCTCTCGCGGCTTCCCGCGTGCCTCTTGGGCCCCGTCGCGTTTGTTCCGTTGCAGTCGAGGTACTACCAGAAGGACACCAAATAAGGAACGAAGGGGCTTTTCTGGCCACGGTGGGCCTAGGCCACAAGCAAATCCCGCGACGTAACTCCAAGAGACGACCCAAACCCCCGAGCCCCTTCCGAACCCAAGCGGTCCTTGTTTCAGCGTCTTGGCTGTACTTTTTCAGCTTGCAAAAAAGCCAAAGTCTTTGGCTCTTTTGCAAGCCCAAAAAGCCCATCTTTGGCCCAAAGATGGGCTCAGAGGGCGTCAAGAACCCTTTCAGACGGTCCAAGAGGGCCCCCCCGTCGCAGAACGACCGGGCGGCCGAAGAAGAGGCCTCGGAGACGTCCCAGAGGCCTCCGAGAGCCTCCCGAGCAGGGCCCCGAGGGACCAAATTCACTGATCTCCCTTAGGTTGTAAGTAGGAAGGCACCAACTATACACCAACACCGATCCTGGCCCAGGGTCACCCTGGGCCCAGGATCGGTGTATACGCCCTCCTGCCTTGCGCAAGAAGGCATATACACCGATCCTGGGCCCAGAGTGATCCTGGGCCAGGATCGGTGTTGGTGTATAGTTGGTGCCCTCCGAGTAAGGTCTGCGGGCCGCGGCCGCTGACCCAGGCGATCGAAGAGCAAGAGCGGCGGCGACGAAAAACAGCATCCGCGCGCCCTTCGGGCGAGCGCTTCGGCCGCCCGTGGGCCAGTGCTGACAGGGGGAAGGAGAGACTTTGGGGGTTTTCGTCTTTTGCAGCTCCCGACGCTCCAAGACGGCTCCAGAAGTCTCCGAGACCGCCCCAAGACGGCCAAAGGGGCCCCAGGACGGCACAAGAGGCGCCCAAGACGGCCCCAAGAGAGCCCCAGGACGGCCCCAAAAGAGGCCCCAAAAGCGGGAGCCCGAACCGAGAATCCGAGCATTCCGTCTCAAGTTGCCCCCAGGAGGCCCCCGAGAGGCCCCAGGAGGCTCCAGGAGGCCCCTCGGAGGCCCCCAAGACAGCCCCCAAGACGCCCCAAGGACGCCCCCAAGACGGCCTCGAACTGCCTCCACGAGGCCCTCGCCCGACCGCCCACGAGCCACAACCCAGGCACGGCGGAGGGATGGGCCGAAGGCCATTGAATGACAACCCCGCTTACATAACACCGAAACTAAAATATCCTTACCCACCCGCCTAAAACAAGCACACGCGCATACGCGCATCAGAACCCGCCCGTCAAAAACTGCCTACCAAATATCCTCATCCCCCGCGGATAGAGCTGCCATCAGCGGCCCTGGCAAGTTCAGCCAACCAGGTCCTCCTCACAAAAAGTGTGCAAGCTGCACCGGTCAATGAGTGGGAAGTGTCGCCTGTCGCTGTCCCCTCTGGTTTCCCATGTTTGGCCCACTCCATGTCCTCAGCCTTCTCGCCACGCACTGTCACGTGGCAGGCGATCTTCTCGTTACGGCGGACGCCGAAGGACCTTTCCGTCGCCCCCTTCATCTCCCTCCCTCCCGTCCCTTCATTCATCCCTGGTCCTCCGCATCCTCCTCCTCCTCCTCCTCCTCCTCCACCTGCTCCTTTATGTCATCTCCCCTTGGCGCTCTTGCTCCCCCAGCCTTATCCTTTTTCTCTCCCCCTCTCTCTTTCTCGCGCTCTCTCTCTCTCTCTCTCTCGTTCTCACGTGCGCTCTGCAAGGTGCAGCAGCACCGGTGGCGGCCGTGCAGGGGCGCATTCCTCGCTCTTCCGCTTCTCCGCCGGCCCCCATGCACCGGCAGCAGCAGAAGCAGCGACAGAAGCGGGATGGAAGATCTGGCAGCGGCGCAGCGCTTTCAAAACGGTAGCAATGGCATCGTCATCGCCTCTGCCACCGCCACCGTCACCATCAGCGAAGGCGTCGTCACTGTCATTGCCGCCATCGCCGGTCACTGGCGCCAGCACAACCATCAGCATGAACAACATCACTATCCGCACCATCGTCCTCACATCTCCGCTCCCTCTCCAAGGTCCCCTTTCGCGCCTCCCCTCTCCCTTTCTCTCCCTCTACCTTGTTGCCCTTCTCCCCCCGATGGTGTCCTTCCCCCCCCCCTCCCGTTTTTCCCAATATCCCCCCCTCCCTGCTCCACCCCTTCCCACCCCCTCCTCTTCCCCCCCCCCCTGCCCCCCTCCCAAAAGATCCCTGGAAGCTCCCCCCAAACAAATACTCAACAGAAATCGAAAACGCGAGCCTCAATCCTCGATACCCCCACTCTCCGAGAATGCACTTGATCGTCATTGGCACTCCGCGGACGACCTGATCGTCATATGTCACACGACCTGTTCGTCATACGGTGCACGCCTGAAAACCCCAACTCTCGATCCTCATCCCCCCCGAACGACCGGATAGTCATGCGGCACTTCGAGAATACGGGCTGCTGCTCGGTCAGCTGTTCCAACACCTTGGCCGCGCGCGTGAGGCGGTCGCCACTCTCGCCGACGCTGATGTTGAGGGTCAGCTTCTCAACCTCGATCCGGGTAGGGAGGATGAAGAGGAGGAGGAGGAGGACGACGACGAGAAGAAGCGAGGAGGGGGATCGAAGATACAGAAGTTCGGGCATTTGTTTCTTTCATCTGGGGCCCAGGGGGTGGCTGTCTGAAGGCCTCCGGGTACCTCTGAGGACCTTCAGAGACTCCCAGAAATCTCTGGGGGCGAATGAGGAAGAGGCGAAATAATATTGAGGGAGGGAGGATGAAGGAGGAGAAACAGCAGCAGCAGCGGTGGCAGGGATGAGAAGGAGGGAGGATGGGTCAAGGGGAGGAGGGAGAAGGAGGAGGAGGGGTCAAGGAGGGGGAGGGATGCGACGAGGAGGAGCATGGAGTCCAGCAACAGTTGAAGGCGCCACCACACTCGCCGTGCAAAACCAGCACAAAAAAATTACCCCTCGCCTCGCACTTTTCCTCTCGGCGACCCGGTTCCCAGAGTGGGAGGCCTAGAGGTTGACACCAACACCAATATCGGCGGTGTGCCTCCACCGAGGGAAGGTGCTCCCGATCTAGGTGATGGTGGTAATAGTTTGGCTTCCTAGCTGGCCGAAGTATTACCACCAACACCGACCTCTAGGATCATCTTCCCCCGGTTGAGTCATGCCCGTGTGTTGGTGGCGCCAAATTCTGAGCCTCCAACAGAGCGCTCGGCCTCGGCAAGGGAGAGAGCCCAAGACAGGAAGGGGGGCGATCCCACGGGCGAGGTCGGCCCCGCCCGCTGAGGCAGCGACAGGGACAGCCCCGCCGTCCTCCGAGGAGGGAGGACGCAGGACAAGGAGGATGAGGAGGAGGGGGAGGAGGAAGGGGAGGAGGGGAGGAGGGGGAGGGGAGGAGGAGGAGGGGAGGAGGAGGAGGAGGAGGAGGAGGAGGAGGAGGAGGAGGAGGAGGAGAAGGAGGAGGAGGAGGAGGAGGAGGAGGAGGAGGAGGAGGAGGAGAAGGAGGGGAGGAGTGAATCCAAAGCCGCCCGCCCGAAGGCCGCCCGCCCACGAGGCGGCACTTCCGCCGAGCCCGGTGGAGGCCACGGCGACTCGGGAGGGCCTCTGGAGAGGGCGGACTCCACCCCCACGCGACGGAGCGTGCGAGCGAGCGGCTGCATCTCGCCCATGCGGGCGGGGCTCCTGCACGGGGCCTCCCCCTCTCCCAGGAGAGAGGAGAGGCAGAGGAGGGTGGAGTCGGCTCGTATCATCAGGATGTGCGATAAGGATGCAAGGGCCTCGGACGCCAATTCCGAAGCTTCTCGAGCGGGGCGCGGCCAGCGAAAGTGGCCAGGGATGGACCGAGGAGGCAAGGATGCATGGGTACCCTTGGGAAGGTTGCCCATCCTTACTCCTGCAGAGGAGGGAGGAGGAATGGAGGTAGTGGTGGTGTGTACTCTTGGGGCCCGCACTCTGGCCAGCACAGCCAGCCAAATGTGGAATTCGGAAGAGAAGCCAGGGCCCCACGCGACGGGGCGCGCGGTGGGCGCGCGAACAAAAAAAAAAAAAAACTCTCCTGGACGGCTGCCTCTCGCGGCCCTCGGAGCGGACCCGCGGGCGATCCGACGAGAGCGCACCGGGCACTCCCAGGACGGCACACGGGACCCGCTCGAGGCGCAAAAGAGTCAGTTGTTTCAAACCTCGGCAAATTTACTTGCACGGACGGGGGGGGCCTGAACCCGAAGCAAGCCGCAGACGAACTGCACGTGCGCAAGGTCACGCAAGTCGAAGGGCATTTGCACGCCGGTATTCGCTCGAAGAGGGGCGAAAGGGGGGTTGGGGGGGGGGGGAGGGGGCGAACGCCATGCAAGTAAACCTGCCTGAACCTCAAAAAGACAACCTCGAGATCCGACGTAGCGAAAAATCTGCAACATCGTGAACATCCGAGCCCCGGACCCCATCCTTCTGCGCCACTCTTCGAGCCGGATCGATCTATGAGGGCCCCGGGGCCCGAAAAAAAGGCGAAAACGCCCGGCTCGAAAGAATTGAGCCGCCAGGATCTCCAGGAAGGCTCCCCTGACCTTCCAGAGAGCTATTTGTTTAGCACTGGAGACCTAAAAACCTAAAAAGCTGAGCGAAACAGCCTAAAACCAAGACGTAGCATAGCTCTGGGATAGGCTTTTACGTCGGGCGCTATTTTTTAGCCCTCCTGGAAGGTCAGGCTCAAGCCTGCGGCGCGGTCGCCGAGGCCTTCGGAGGCGCCGACCGCGCGAGGGCCCGGGCCTCCGGGCGCCGGGCACTCCCTCTGGCGGAGCCCCCGCGCGGAGGCCGGGCGCCGCGAGGCGCCGCCCGCCCGCCCCGCGCCGCCCGGCCCGCTCCGCGACCCCCCTCCTCCTCCTCTCCTCCTCCTCCCTCCTCCTCCTCCTCCTCCTCCTCCTCCCCTCCTCCCTCCTCCTCCTCCTCCTCTTCCTCCTCCTCCTCCTCCTCCTCCTCCCCCTCCTCCTCCTCCTCCCCCTCCTCATCCCCCCCCCTGACCTTCCAGGAGGGTTCAAAAATAGCACCGGACTTAAAGACCTACCCCAAAGCTATGCTACGTCTTGGTCTTAGGATGCTTCGTCCCGTTGTTTTAGGTTTTTCGGCCTGCAGTGCTAAAAAGTGGCTCTCTGGAAGGTCGGGGCCCCCCGCCCGCCGCCCGCGCGGAGCGGCGGCCACGAGCCCTCGCGCGGCCCCTCGCCATCGCTCGGACGTCCATGCCCCGTGCATTTTTCGACTTCGTGCGTGTATTTTCTGGGGGACCACGTGCGAACCCTATCCCCCTACCCCCCACGATCTCTGAGGGGGAGGGTAGGGGTTCACTTCGCTCGGGAGCTCCCGAATGAAGTGAACCCCACCCTCCCCCTCAGAAATCGTTGGGGGTAGGGGTAGGGTTCGCACGTGGTCCCCTATCTTCCGCTCCATGAGCAAAGATGTTCCTCGAGGGTCCTCGGCGAGAAAAAATGCACACGTCCGAGCGACGCCAAGCGGTCGAGATCCTGGCCGAAGCAGGCTGCACCTGCTTGCAGCAGGGGCTCGACCACAGGAAGCCTCGGCACGCGATTGGTCAGACAGGTTCGAGCCCCATCCTGGCGGTGCGCACAAGGAGGAGGAGGGAGGGGGGAAGGCTTCTTAGAAGGAGGCTGCTTCTTAGAAGGCGCCGGCCTTACATCTATAGTTTGGGCCCGCGCCTTCTAAGAAGCAGCGGTGCTTCTAAGAAGCACTCCCCCCTCCCCTAACCCCCCTCTGCGCGGGCTGACCCACTTGGGCCGCCCCCTGAGGCCCCAGGACAGTGGTTCCCCAGGGGCGGGCCCAGGTCCGCGACAAGCTTGATGGGCCTGCAGTGATGCGGCTGGTCAGCAGCAGGCAAGTCGGATGGCAGGCTCTCGCGATTTGAAAGGCTGGGCAACTGGGCTGCCGATCGATCTGCCTGTCAACGTGCTGCTGGTGCTGACGGCTGTGACGGAGCCGACCGCTCGATGATCCTTGCGTGTCGTGCGGCTGCCAGGGAGTCTGCCAGGTTCGGGGGCCGACAGGCGGCGAACAGCGCTGATGAGGAAGGCCCGGACTATGTGCCCCCTGTCCAATGGGGGCCCCTTCGTGCCAAGAAACACCCTGCCTGCCTCCGGGGTGCCCTGGGTTTCTTGGGGCTCCATGGCTTTGCTCTGGAGCGCGCGTCGCTCCCGCACCAAAAGTCGAGGGACGTCCTGGGGTCTCAGGGTCGGGAAGCTCGGTCTCCCGGGCGGCGGATATGGACACCTCCCTGCCTCCGAGTGCACTCTGCGCGCGGGTGGATGGCCAGGCCGCACACCCACCCCTCCGCCTGCGGGCGATGCGGGCGCGGCCCGGCCGCGCAGCGCCAAAATGCTGGGAGCGCGGAGTCCCGGGCAGAGGGCGAAGCCCCGGTCTGCAGCCCCGGCTGCAGCCCCGGCTGCGGGGTGCGCCGAGGGTGACACCCGAGTAGAGACCTAACGAAACACGAACCCTTCCCGAAACCAAGCTGGGACTCGTTCACCACGTTTGGGGTGCGTTGGCGATCTCCCGAGAATGGTGCGACAGCCGATGGGCCCTCCAGGGGGGGCATAGCAAAGGCAGATTCCACTGTGCACACTCTCACTCTGGCCCGCCCGCCCGCGTGCCGCCTTGATCTGGCGCATGGGGTTGTCAGACTTGTCGGGCATGGCTTAAGAGACACCTGGCCCGTTCTCTACCTCCTCCTCCTCCTCCTCCTCCTCCTCCTCCTCCTCCTCCTCTTGATCATCATCATCAGCATCATCAACACCACCACCATCATCCATCATCATCATCATCATCATCATCATCATCATCATCATCATCATCATCATCATCATCATCATCATCATCATCATCATCATCATCATCATCATCATCATCATCATCATCATCATCATCATCATCATCATCATCATCATCATCATCATCATCAGCATCATCATCATCATCATCAGCAGCAGCAGCAGCAGCATCAGCATCAGCATCATCATCATCATCATCATCAGCATCATCATCATCATCATCATCATCATCATCGTCGTCATCATCATCATCATCATCAGCATCATCATCATCATCAGCATCATCATCATCATCATCATCATATCATCATCATCATCATCATCGGCATCAATCATCATCAGCATCATCATCATCATCATCTCATCTCATCCTCCTCATCCTCATCCTCATCCTCATCCTCATCCTCATCCTCATCCTCATCCATCATCATCATCATCATCATCATCATCATCATCATCATCATCATCATCATCATCATCATCATCATCATCATCATCATCATCATATCATCATCGTCATTATCATCAGCAGCAGCAGCATCAGCATCATCATCATCCTCATCCTGATCCTCATCCTCATCCTCATCATCCTCATCATTCGGCCTCCTCCTCATCCTCATCCTCATCCTCATCATCCTCGTCCTCATCCTCATCCTCATCAGCATCATCATCATCATCATCATCAGCAGCATCATCATCATCATCATCATCATCACCTTCTCGGCAGCTCCGACGAGCTCCGCCGCAGCATCGAGTTCAACATGAACGTAGGCTCCTTCGCGCACGCCAAGGAGGCCAGGAACCTTGGGGTGGACGACGCCATGGGCGGGAAGGCCTCCACCGTGGCCTGCCCGAGATTGCCCACGGGCAGCGCCCGGGGCCGACCGCGTCCTACATGTGCGACGGCCGTCCCAAGGCAACTGGGGCAAAGCTCAGCAACTCGGGCCTGCAGCCCGTCACCACCTACGGCATCTCGTGCACGGCCTGGTCCATCAGGGCGCTGCTGCGCGGGCGGTCGCGGCCCGCGGCGATCGCGCTCGGCACGGGAGCGGGCAGGAGCGTCGCCCTCGGCTACCCTGGTGTCCGAGAGGCCACGTGACGACCCCCTGTACGACCACATCGTGAAGCCCATCGCTGCGTGGGCCAAGGGGCTGCAGCTGGCGCTGGATGCTGGCAGGCGGGCCCTCGGCTCCGCCTTCGCGGCGGCCCGCGGCCGCCTGGCCTCAGCGGGGGCCGAGGGCCAGGTGGGGAGGGGCCCCGCCGCGGCCACGATCCTCGCCGCCCTGCGCCTGGGCTGGAGGGCAGACCACATCAGGCGCTGGGACCGAAGACCTGCAGCGCCCCTATCGACCTGGGGGCCATCGACAAGCACGCCCTCGGCCGAGAGGTCCAGGCCGCCTTCATCAGGAAGCTCTGGCGGGGCACCGCCTGCCGCGACCCCATGCTGAGCCACTTGGCGGGGGGCGCCGCCGTGGGGGGCCTGCGCCGCCGACTCTGCAGGGCGCAGGGCAGCCCAGCCTGGACGGCGCGCTGGTCCTCGGCCAGGAACGCCGTCGTCGGCTGCCTCTGGCCTGTGCAGCGGCGTGCCGAGGCCTCCCCGCTGCTGGCGAGCTCAGGGCGCTGCCCTGCGGGCTGCGAGGCGAAGGGGACCCTCAGGCATCTGGCTTGCGCCTGCCCCGCGCTGGAGGGCCTGCGCAGGCAGTGGAAGGCCGACGACCCGAACCTCGACCACTTCCTGAGCTCTGGAGGCCCTCACGATGCCGATGACGAGCATGCCCTGTGGTCGAGGTGCCTGGTCAAGGACCCGAGGTGCGACCACCCCCCGCCGCTGGCCGTGCGCATGGTCCGCACCGCTGGGCCAGGAGCTGGTGAGCCCCCTGCACGGCGAGGTGTTCTTGGACGGCTCCGCCTACCGAGTCCAGGACCACATCATGGCGCGCGCGGGTTGGGCAGATTGCGCCACCGACCCCACGGGTGCCACGGGCGCCGAGCTCTCCAGCATCTTCGGCCCAATGCCGTGGCCCTGGCCCCAGGAGTCGGGAGCGGGCGAGCTTCCTGGCAGCGTCAAAGAAACAATTGTGCAGATGCCCGTGCAAACGAAGGCGCGAGCTGTCACCCTTTCCGGCCCGCGCTCGCAGACGCTGCCACTATCGCTGATGAGTGGGGGGTGAGCTTGGGTCGGTGGGTGGGGGTGGCGGTGCAGGAAGGAGACTGTTGGCTCAGGGCCGAGGACGGGTTCAACCCACCTGGCCTGGCCGCGATCGGATGCACGGTGCCAGATGGCAAGCAGAGGAGCATCTCGTCGTGCGACGCACGTCCTGCCAGGCCATGCCCTCGACATGGCTCAACCATCCTTTCAGATTCTTGAATAGTCTCCTGGAGTTGCCTCGCCTGCTCCTCCCGAGGGACCCCGATCCCCGCCTGCGCCAGCCCGCCGACCTCTGGAGGGGAGGGTCAGGCGTCATCATCATCATCATCATCATCATCATCATCATCATCATCATCATCATCATCATCATCATCAGCAGCAGCAGCAGCATCATCATCATCACCAGCAGCAGCAACATCATCATCATCATCATCATCATCATCATCATCATCATCATCATCATCATCATCATCATCATCATCATCATCATCATCATCAGCATCATCATCATCATCATCATCATCATCATCATCATCATGATTATCCTCATCGTCATTATCATCATTATCATTATTCTCGTCGTCATCATCATCACCACCGTCATCACTATCATCAGCATCATCATCATAATCGTCCTCATCATCATCATATTCGGCATCATCATCTCGTCATCAGCATCATCCTCATCATCATCACCACCACCACCACCTCCACCATAATCATCAGCAGCAGCAACATCATCATCATGCATCATCATCAGCATCATCATCATCATCATCAGCAGCAGCAGCAGCAGCATCGTCATCAGCATCAGCATCAGCATCGTCATCATCACCAACAACAGCATCATCATATTAAGCAGACTAACAATGATAACAATTATATGAATCAGAATAATAATAATCATCATCATCATCATCACCATCATCATCAGCATCAGCATCAGCATCGTCATCATCATCATCATCATCATCATCATCATCATCATCATCATCATCATCATCGTCGTCATCACCCTCATTATCATCCTGATCATCATCACCATTACCATCATAATCATAATGATAATACTAATAATAATAATCATCATCATCATCATCAGCATCATCATCATCGGCATCATCACCATGAGCAGCCTCAGCCTCATCATCATCATCAACATCATCATCACAATCATTAGGAGCAACATCATCATCGTCGTCGTCGCCAGCATCAGCATCAGCATCAGCATCATCATCACCATCATCATCATTATGATCATCAGCAGCAGGATCATCATGATCATCATCCTCATCATCATCAGCATCATCATCAGTAGCAGCATCATCATCGGAATCATCATGATCGTCATCATCATCATCATCATCATCATCATCATCATCATCATCATCATCATCATCATCATCATCATCATCATCATCATCATCGGAATCATCATGATCGGAATCATCATGATCATCATCATCATGATCATCCTCTCCCCAGCGCGCGCGCGTGTCGTTATCCGATAACCACACGCGCGCGCGCGCTGGGGAGAGGCGCGCGCACCCCTTTTCCTGTCCGCGCGCGACTGCGCCCGGTCCTCACGACGGTGCTCGGGACAGACGCCCGCAGCGGCGGGCGGATGGAAGGAGCACAAGCCTCCAAGGTTGCGCCAAGACGGGTCGGGAAGCCCTCGAGAGAGCCCCAGAACGGGCGAGGAGGGCCCAAAGTCGGCCCCAGAGGCCCCCGGGATGGCCCAAGAGGGCCCCCGGAGGCCTCAAAGACGGCCGTAAAGTATCCAAAGGAGGGCCCAAGGCCGCACAGCGAGGCCCTCAAGACGGCCCCTCAAGGCCGAGGCCCCCAGAGGCCCTCCTCCTCCTCCTCCTCCTCCTCCTCCTCCTCCTCCTCCTCCTCCTCCTCCTGCTCCTCCTCCTGCTCATCCTGCTCCTCCTGCTTTTGTTAGTCATCCTGCTCCTCCTCCTCCTCCTCCTCCGCCTCCTCCTCCTGCTCCTCATTGTGCTCCTCTATTCCTCCCCCACATGTTCCTTCAAGGGTATCCGCAACGTCTGGGGGGGGAACACGGTCCAACAGCTAGGCAAGACTTAAGCCCAACAGTTGGACCGATAGGCGATTCCAAAAGACAGCGGGGAGGAGGTGGTTCGCCGTAGGTGCCTTCAGCTGTGGTTACCTGACTGTCGCCGTAAGTCCCTCTTAGGCCGTCTCCCGGGCCTGTCAGACCATCTTGGGGTCTTTCGGGGCTGGGGCCCTCTGAGGCCGTTTTGGTGGCCTAGTGGGGCTGTTTGGGAGGGCTCTGGAGGCCACGTTGGGCTGTCTTGGGGACTCTTTTGGGCTGCCTGGGGCCTCTCTTGGGTCCTTTTGCCGCATGGAGGCTTCTTGCGAGTCCTCTCGGGAGCGCCGTGGGCAATCTTGGGAGCCCGTGGTGCAATTGACCAACCTGTTTAGACCCATTCTCTTGGCCATCTTTGGCACGACTTGTCCGTATTGCAAGGCTCGTCAAGCTCTCCTGGGGCCCCCATGTAGCTCTCTGGAGCAATGTTGGGGCCATCTGAGGCCGTATTAGACTCATCCACTCGCGACCTAGCTTCCACAGCGGGAGCCAAGACTGCGGCACATCATTCTTCTATGAACAGGAATACCAATGGTACATATATATATATATATATACATATAGTTATATAATACACATATGTATCGTAATATGTCTCTGCCTGTCCCATTCTCTCCCTCTCTATCTCTCTCTCTCTCTCTCTCTCTCTCTCTCCTGTCCCTCTCCCTACCACGCGGATCAAGGCAACGACCCAAGCTGCTCCGACCCTTGCGTCCGACACCATCCGCCCCCCAAAGAACGGGTCCTGCTCAGCGTGCTGCGGGGCTGCGTGGGGTACCGTGCTGCGTCGTGACTGCGCTCCGCTTGAGCCGAGATCGAGGGCCACGGCGTCATGAGTGGCCATGGGCGAGAACGCTAGGAGGCGGCTCGGCCGACTTGCCCAATGTACCTACCTCCCTTGCTCTGCAGGAGGAGGAGGAGGAGGAGGAGGAGGGGCAGCCTTCTGGCTTGTTCCCAGATGGCTCTTAGAGGTCCCCCCCACTCCAGGACGACCTCAGGAAGCCCCTCAGATAAGCTGAGCTCAAGGCGCTCCACCGTGGGCCCTGACATGCAATTGGACAGGCGGCCCCAACTTGCGGATCGGGCAGGCAGATCCTGACGGGCGGGCGGGCGGGAAGGTAAAGCAGGCGGGCAAGCTGTCGTGCAAGCGAGCGGTCGGACCCTCCTATGGGCGGGTCGGGTGGGCAGATCCTGACGGGCCGATCGGGCGGACGGACACTACTGACGGGACATTCAGGCGGGCGGCCCGCTGGGACGTGAAAGCGAGGCCAGTGAATCGTCGTCGTCGTCGTCGTCGTCGTCGCCCGTCGTCGTCGTTGTCCCCGTCGCCACCGCTGTCGCAAGCGCTGTCGTCGTCGTCGTCGTCCTCGTGGTCGTCAGAGGTCCATCGTCGGTCGTCCGTCGTCGTCGTCGGCGTCGGCGGCGGCGGCGTTGTTGTCGTCGTTTGGGTTTGTCAGCGCGAGGGTAAGGGTGTTGAACCTCCCCCCCTCACCTCCCCCCTTCAAGCGCCTTTGGCGAGGGGTGACCCCCCAGTGTGTACCACCCCTCCCCTTCCAGCGGAGCAGAGCAGCGAGAGGGAAGGGCCCAAGCCACCCCCCTCGACCCCCTAAGCGACCAAGAAAAACACCCCATCCGATCTGAGAACGAGTGCGGACGTTGTTCTGGCCACGTAAGCCCAGCATCATACTACAAAGTCATGCGACAACCTTATGAAAGAACAGTCATAGCACTGGAATAATGCACACAACTACGCGCTCACACTGTAGTCCAGCATTGCGTTTCAGCACTGTGCGCGCTGATCGTGCTGTTTCTGCGGCGTGCTTTGACCTATAGTACACTCCTCGCTCCTGCGCGTGACCCCTGGAATAAAACCGACCTCTCGTCTGACCGCTGCACTCCCCCAGCTCCCAGCAGCAGGGAGTCACAGCCCTTGCTACCCAGCCGCGGAACTGCAGGAATGCCCCCGCTCTGACTCCAGCGGTCGGTCGCAAACCCACTGGCGCAGGCCCAGGCCACATGCAGGTGCGAGTCTGCACGCGCAGCTGGGTGCTTCGAGGTCGAGATGGGCTTGTGGATGCCATGGCAATGGACACCCTAGCAATCCCATCATTGAATTAAACGCATGTTCAAACTGTTTGAAACATGCTTTCAAACAGTTTAAACCATGTGTTTTACATGTTTGAGACATGTCTTAAACATGTTTAGACATCTGGAAATTATTTGGCAACACGTTTCATCTCCATTGATCGTCGTCCACAACTCTGGGCCCTGCAGCCAGAAACGCTCCCGATTCGGCGGCTCGGATCTCACGCTTGACCCTCCAGACGGCGAGCGCTATGCGCCCCGGCAGGGTGGCGACGAGGCCAGGGGGCTTGAGGGCACTATCGGGCCGGGATCACGGCTTTGGCTGCCTGCTCAACCCAGGGACGGATCTGACCTGGGGTATAATAAGTTTCTGCGGCAACTCATGAGAGCCTCCCATGCTATCTTGTCGGCTCTTGCGAATCGACGCCAATCGACACTAAATCGATGCGAATCGACGCTAAATCGACGCTGAATCGACGCTAACCGACGCCATCTCGTTGACTCCCAGACGCTAATCGACGCGAGTCGACGATAACGACGACAATAACAGGGTACGCCAGGCTCCCATGATTTGCTGCCGAGGTGATTGTGGTTGGGAGGATGGGAGGGAAAATGGCTAGCAGCCACACTTTTTCGGAATCCGAGCGCGCGTCTACACCAAGCTTCGAGACTGCTTGATGAGCGTCTTTCCCAGGCCGCCCCGCTTGGAGATGATGGTCTCCTCTAAGTGGGCCCGAGGAGGACGAGGTGCTTAATACCGATGACGCGGAGGCAGAAATCGGCCAACACACATCAACGAGAACAGAGGACGACGGCGAATACAATCGAGAAGTGCATGCTGTATCCGATGGAAGATGTGTATGCAGCTTGCTTCCTCCCATTGGTATTGACAGGGTTGCCAGAGCAAGACGGAAGGAAAAAAGACTCTGCCCAAAGTCCTCGAGCTTGCGCTTCTTCGTTGCCTGCTTCCGTTGAAGTTTCGCCTTCTTCATCTTTGCGGCAGCCTGCCACAGCTCCCCCCTCTGCGTGCCGTGCAGCAAGCAAGCAACCCGTCGCGGAAAAATAGGCTGTGGAAAGAGCGCAAACACACACACACACACACATCAAAAAAACACGCTGTGGAAAAAGCACAGTCTGTGAACAAAAAAACACTGTGGACAAAGCACACACACATACACAAAAAAGTGTGTGTGTGTCCTACTCACCCATTCTCTGCACTCCACGACCACGAGCTATGCGCCGCCTCCGAGTCGCGACAGCGCGCCCTGCAAATGTGGCCCCAGGGACGAAGAGCGCCCCTGACGAGCAGCGAACGCCGCACGCCCAGTGCACACCTCTGCACCCGTCGTCCCGCTGAGCCGTTCCCCGTCGAGGCGCAGCGAAGCGAGTGGAAAGTACACGATCCAGGCACGTCTTGCTCACCCCCTCGCTGCTCCTCCACACTCCTCTTCGATATGCTTCTCTTCATCGTCATCCAGCTGCGCCCGGCCTCCGTTACGTTGCCACTGCTGGGTCCGCTGAGCTCGACTCTGGGCAAGGTGGTGTTCCTGACTCCATCCGAAGCTCCTAAATGCGTTACAGGCCTTAGACAGCAGAGGGCTAGCCGCGCGCAGACGTCCTGTAGGATGGCGGCGAGCCCATCGGGGGTGAGGTTGAAACCGCCCCCTTCCAGCGTGTAACTAAAGCGACCTGGAGAGGCGAAAAACATCGACCTACACACACAAACGCATGGTCAACATCAACGGTGAGCAAACACGCAGCGCAATCCGAACAAGCACGTGCCACTCAGCATCAAGGAGCGCGCAGGTACCAAGATGCTACGAAAGCACGCAAGCACGCAGCGAATGCCAGCCATGCTTCGCAGAAGAATGCCCAGCAACTGGGGGCAAGAAGAAACCCATACCGCTACTCCCCAGACCTCCAGACCTCTTTTAGGATTCCGAGGCATATACAACCGTGGCGACGAGGGCCCCCGAGGAGACCCAGAACAGTGACAACGAGGCTCCTGCTCTGAGCAACGCGCAAACATGAGCGAGCGATTGTTCATCGCAGTTTTTACTGTCTGCGCGCTGGAACCCTGCGCTGGCTGGCGTGGAAGGCCACGAACCCGACTTGACCGCAGAAGCCTGCGCCATGGACACGCTCTTGCGCACATAATTCATATTTGCACCTCCCTCCACACGCCGCGTTCCTGATACTCCTCCTCCTCCTCCTCCTCCTCCTCCTCCTCCTCCTCCTCCTCGTCCTCCTTCTCTTCCTCCTCCTCCTCCTCCTCCTCCTCCTCCTCCTCCTCCTCCTCCTCCTCCTCCTCCCCCCCCTCCTCCTACTCCTTCCCATCCTCCTTCCTCCTCCTCCTCCTCCTCCTCCGCCGCCTCTTCTTCTTCTTCTTCTTCTTCTTATTATTCTTATTATTATTATTATTATTCGTCTTATTATTATTATTCTTCTTCTTCGTCTTATCATTATTCTTCTTCTTATTATTATTATTCTTCTTCTTCTTCTCCTTATTCTTCTTCTTATTATCATTATTCTTATTATTCTTCTTATTAGTATTCGTATTATTCTTCTTCTCCTTCTTCTTATTATAATTCTTATTGTTCTTCTTATTCTTAGTATTACTATTATGATGATTCGTCTTTTTCTTCCTCCTCCTCATCATCATCAGCATCAGCATCAGCATCAGCATCAGCAGCAGCATCAGCATCATCATCAGCAGCATCATCATCATCATCATCAGCATCATCATCATCATCAGCATCATCATCATCATCATCAGCATCAGCATCATCATCATCATCATCATCATCATCATCATTCATCAGCAGGAGCAGCAACATCATCACAATCAACATCACCATCACCATCATCAGCGTCATCATCATCAGCAGCAGCAGCACCATCTTCATCATCATCACGACCATCATCACCAACACCATCATCATCATCATCATCATCATCATCATCATCATCATCATCATCATCAGCAGCATCATCAGTAGCAGCAGCATCAACATCGTCACCAGCATCAGCATCATCATCGGCAGCATTATCAGCATCATCACCATTATCAGCAGCATCATCAGCAGCAGCATCATCGTCACCGGAATCGTCAGAGTCATCATCATCGCCATCGTCATCGCCATCGATTATAATCGTTATCATCAGCATCATCATCATCATCATCGTCATCATCAGCATCATCATCAGCATCATCATCAGCAGCATCGTCATCATCAGCAGCATCAGCATCAGCATCATCATCACCACCATCATCATCATAATCATCGATATCATCATCATCAGCATCATCATCAGCATCATCGTGATCCTAATAATCAGCACCATTATCAGCATCATCCTCATCAGCATCAGCATCAGCATCAGCATCAGCATCAGCATCAGCAGCATAATCATCATCATCATCATCGTCATCATCATCATCATCATCATCATCAGCATCATCATCATCATCATCATCATCATCTTCTTCTTCTTCTTCTTCATCATCATCATCATCATCATCATCATCATCATCATCATCATCATCATCATCATCATCATATCCATCCCTCCATCCATCCATCCATCCATCCATCCATCATAGCATCGTTCCTCCGCTAGTTTCCTCCAGCTCCTCCTCCTCCTCCTCCTGTTCCTCCTCAGGCGCCCATCCTCAACAACGAGACCAGACCCCCCAGGACCTAGGACCCAGGCTCTAGGATCCCTGAGGCCCAGATAGCAGCTCACTGCGCCACCATGAACTGCCAACAGATCTCTGGGAATACGCGCCCGCTCGCCTTTTGTGGATTCCGTAAGTCCGCCGACCCCTCGGGGGTTACTTGCTCCTCCCCAAACCCCACCCTCCCCCGAGAGCTCGGCCCGGCAGGTTTAGAGTGGGGGTTCGGTCAGATTGGACCAAGGGGGGTCATTTGCTTCAGAAGTTCCCCCGGACGGACTCGACGCGGCACCAAGAGGCCCCAAGACGGCCCACAACGCCCCACGCAAGAGGGGCATCTAGGGTTTCCAAGGAGTCGGGGGTATGGCGTAAGCCAATGAATCCACGTCCGGAAGTGATGTGTTGTCGGAGGCAGGTCCGGGGATGCTGTAATGCAACATATCCTGTGTACCCAATGACTGCACAGCTGCAATGTATCCAATATTTACACAATTGGTACATGTTGTGTTGGGTTACGTTACTACGTTTCCCCCCTAACTCCCCTTCGAGCGGCGCCACAGCGCCGTACCAAAGGTGGAGGTACTCGTTCTGGGGTTCAGAACCTGCAAAACCTTGTTGGAGAATCAACATAGTCGGCCTCTTGGGCCTCTTGTCTTGGGGCTCCAAGAGGGCGTCAAGATGATGGCCAAAGATGGCCCCAAGACGGCCCAAGACCCCAAGACGGCCCAAGATGGCCACAAGAGAGCCCATGACCTCCCAAGAGCACCTCCAGAGGCCGAAATCCTTTAAGGCTTTTGAAGAATTTGAGCGTTCTCGTCTTTTTCTATCCTTAGAGGTCCATGACGGCCCAAGCAGCCTCCAAAATGGTCCCAGGACGGCCCCAGAGGCCCCCAAGAGGACCCTAAAACGGCCCAAGAGGGCCCCAAAACGGCTCGAAGAAGCCCCTGGGACGGTCCAAGAGGCCCCCAAGACGGCCAATGAGGACCCCAAGAGGACGCAAGAGAGCCTCACGGCGGCTGCGAGAGGCCCACAAGATGGCCTCCGAAGGAGCCTAACGGCGCAAGAGCGCCCCAAGACGGCCCAAGACGCCCCCAAGATGCCCCAAGAGGCCCTAACAAGCCCACAAGAGGCCTCCAAGAGGCCCCAAAGAGGATTCCACCAAGCCCCACAACGTCTGGACTGTACGCGCTCCGGACGTGCACCCCACGAAGCGAGAGGAATCCACATACGGACTGCAGCGAAGCGTCTCGGCAGTCCGACAGGACGGGTGTGTGACGGAAGGGCCACGCCAGGAGACACCCAGGAAGGCCAAGTGCACAAGATTCCATCCTTAGACATTGCAAAGCCCCCCCTTTAATCCCCCCCAGGCCCGAACCGAGGTGCCGACCCGTTGCGGCGTACCTGACATCTTCCTGCAAAAACCAATGGAAAAGCAATCTCCTAGCTTCTTGGGCCTCCTCGGAGTCCACAGGGGCGTCCAAGGCACACCTCGTCTTCAAAACGGCCCAAGACAGTTTCAAGACGACCCAAGATAGCCCCAAGAGAGCCCAGGAAGCCCCAAAGACGGCCCCAGAAGGCTCCCCCAAGAGCGCCCTCAGAAGCAAAAAACATTCATTTTCCAGTGGTTGTTTCTACCTTTGTGCGTCCTCTTTTTTTCAACCAACGCGGGCTCATAACGGCTCAAGCAACCTCCAAAATGGCGCCAAGACGGCCCACGAGGCCCCCCAGATGGCCCCCAGACAGCCCAAGAGGGCCCCAAGATGGCCCCATCAATCCCCCAAGACGGTCCAGGAGGCCCCCGAGACGGTCCAAGAGAGCCCGAAGAGAGCCCTAAGGCAGCCCCGAGAGGCAGCCAAGACGGCCTCCGAAGGGGCCCAGAAGGCCCCAGACAGAAGGCAGACGGCTCCAGGCGTCCTTCAGGCGCCCCAAGAAGCTTCCGAGAACCCCCGACGAGGGCCCGATATGCTCCCGACGGGCCCCCCGAGAGAGCTCCAAGCGCCTCCCACAAGACCCCCTGATCTCCACGCTTTACACGCGTTCCTGTCGCCAGGCTCTCATACGCTCCACAGGAGGCGCCCCTTGGGCCCCGGGACGGCCCAGCACGGCGTCGAGGCCCCGCGAGGCGTTCCAGAGGCCCGCGCGCGGGCGCTCCAGAGAATCCAGACGGCGCAAGAGCGCCCCAAGGCGGCCCCAAAACGCCCCCAGGAGGCTCGCAGGAGTCGCCACAGAGACTTGAAGCTGCCTACTCGAAGAAACCCGAAGCGCCCGTGCTCTTCGCGGTCCGGACGTGCACCCCGCGGAGCGAGAGGAATCCACGTGCGGAGGAGA